CGCCTTTGATCACCTTCTTCCCCTCCCCCTGGCTCGGCCCCGGGATCTGTTACTGTGAAGCACTCTGAGACACCGTCCATTGTGGAGGGCGCTATATAAATCCAAGTTGTTGTTGTAGCGAGAAAAAAAATTACTTTGGTTGTTTGATCATAATTAATGAGAAACTACAGAGTGTTAAAATACTATTGGCAATATATATTCTTTAATTATGTTTGTGGGGCAGAAGGGAAGTTAATCATTATGCTGGTCATTGAGATTAGAATCTAACAATATCAACAACTGGCATTTACATAGCACCATTCATCTTGGAGTACTTGACGCTGAGCCAGGGAGAGTGGGGGGAGCGTGGTCGAAGAGGAAAAACATGGAGTTCAACTAAATGGTACTCAACTAAAGAGCACCAAATGCAACAAGACTTCAGGTCCCAGGAATTGATGAATGCACTGATGTCTTCAGTATATTAAATTAAATATAAATATAAAATACAAAAAGGAGGGGGAGTGGCAATATTAATCAAGGATACGGTTATAGCTGTGGAAAGGGTCGAGGTGTTGGAGGGCCCGAAAACAGAATCTATCTGGTTAGAGTTAAGAAACAAAAAAGGAGCTGTTACGCTGGTAGAGGTATACTATAGACCACCAAATAGTGGGAAGGAAATAGATGACCAGATCTGCAAGCAGATCTCAGACAGATGCAAGGCCAATAGAGTCGTGATAATGGGAGACTTTAATTATCCCAACATAGACTGGCAAAACAACAGCGCAAAGGGCAAGGAGGGGGAAAGATTCCTAAAATGCGTACAGGACAACTTTCTTGATCAGTAGGTTTCCAGCCCAACGAGGAAGGAAGCTGTGCTGGATCTAGTTCTGGAGAATGAAGTAGGGCAAGTGGAGCAGGTTTCAGTGGGAGAGCATCTGGGCAATAGTGATCACAACATCATTAGATTCAGAGTGCACATGGAAAGAGACAAGGAACCATCAAAGGTGAAGATATTCAACTGGAAGAGGGCTAATTTCAGTGAGTTAAAAAGGGACCTAGCCAAGGTGGACTGGAAAGAAAGATTGCCAGGTAAAACAACTAAAGAGCAGTGGGAAGTCTTCAAGGATGAGATAGCTCAGGGACAAAACAAATACATTCCCACAAAAGGGAAAAGTAGGGCATCCAAACCTCTCTGGATGATGAAGGAAATTGCATCTAGAATGAAGCAGAAAAAGGAGGCGTATGACAAATGTCAAGCACAAGATACAGAAGACAACCAAATAGAATATAGGAAGTACAGAAGAGCACTGAAAAAGGAAATAAGAGGGGCAAAAAGATTATACGAAAAAAGGTTAGTGGGTAACATTGAAGGGAATCCTAAAATACTTTACAAACATGTCAAGAAAAAAAGGTTAGTCAAAGGTAGGGTGGGGCCAATTAAGGACCAATTAAGAAATCTTATTGTGGAGGCAGAGGGCATGGCTGACGTACTGAATGAGTACTTTGCATCTGTCTTCACAAAAGAAGTGGATGCACCAAATGCCGTAGTATCGGAGGAGAGGGTAGAGGAAATGGATAGGATAAGTATAAACAGAGAGGAAGTACTGAAAAGGTTGACTGGGCTCAAGGTAGATAAGTCGTCCGGTCCAGACAGGATGCAGCAAAGGTTACTATGGTAGGCACGGGTACAAATAGTGGAGGCTTTGGCTACAATTTTTCAATCTTCGTTGGACACAGGAGTGGTGCCAGAGGACTGGAGATGGCTAATGTTATTCCCCTGTAAAAAAAAAGGGGCAGAAGGACAAACCTGGGAACTACAGGCCAGTCAGCCTAACATCAGTAGTGGGGAAACTCCTGGAGACTATAATCCGGGACAGAATAAATCTTCACTTAGAAGAACATGGGTTAATTAGGGACAGCCAGCACGGATTTGTTAAAGGTAAATCTTGTCTAACAAATCTAATAGAATTTTTCGATGAAGTAACGGAGAGGGTGGATGAAGGTAGTGCAGTTGATGTAGTTTATATGGACTTTCAAAAGGCATTTGACAAAGTGCTATATAAAAGACGTAAGAAAAATAGAAGCCCATGGTATAAAAGGGACAGTGGCAGCATGGATCCAGAACTGGCTTAGAGACAGAAAGCAGAGAGTTGTGGTGAACGTTTGCTTTTCTGACTGGAGGGGAGTGAAGAGTGGCGTCCCCCAGGGATCGGTATTAGGACCACTGCTCTTCTTAATATACATAAATGATCTGGACTTGGGTATAGCAAGTACCATTTCCAAGTTTGCGGATGACACAAAGTTAGGTAGGGTGGTAAACAGTGAGAAGGATAGTAGCCAACTGCATAGACATAGACAGAATGGTAAAATGGGCAGATACATGGCAGATGAATTTCAATGTGGAGAAATGTAAGGTATTGCATTTTGGAAGAAAGAATGTGGGGAGGCAATATAGGCTGATAATACAATCATAAGGGGGGGTGTAGGAACAGAGAGATCTGGGGGTTCAGGTAAATGAATCCTTGAAGGTGGCAGGACAGGTAGATAAAGCTGTAAAAAGGATATATGGGATACTAGGCTTATAAATAGGGGCATAGAGTACAAGAGTCAGGAGGTTACGATTAACCTATATAATACACTGGTAAGACCTCAGTTAGAATACTGTGCCCTGTTCTGGGCACCACACTATAGGAAGGATGTTAAGGCATTGGAAAGGGTGCAGAGGAGATTTACAAGGATGGTACCAGGAATGAGGGACCTTGATTATGAGGAAAGGCTAGAGAGGCTGGGATTATTCTCATTGGAGCAGAGAAGGTTACGAGGAGACCTAATAGAGGTTTTCAAAATCATGAGGGGATTTGATAGGTTAGAAAAGGAAAAACTGTTTCCACTGGTGGGTGTGTCGGTGACTCGAGGTCATTTAAAATAGTTTCTATTTAAAATAGTTTCTAAAAGAAGCAGTAGGGAGGTGAGAAGGAATTTTTTCACACAGCGAGTTGTTCGAACCTGGAACGCATTGCCTGAAAGGGTGGTGGAGGCCGATTTGATAACACCTTTTAAAAACCTGGTGGATGGGTATTTGAAGAGGACGGGTTTGCAGGGTTATGGGGAAAGGGGAAAGGGCTGGGGAGCTGGGGACAATATAATGTTAATAATCTTTTCAAAGAGCCGGCACAGACTCGATGGGCCGAATGGCCTCTTTTTGCGCTGTACGATTCTATGATTCTATGATAACATGAATTGTGCACTTAAACTTACATGTCATTAACTTGGTTTCAAGTAAGTTGCTAAAATCTTTATGTACTCAAAATGTAAACATAAATGAATGTTGTCATGTTGCAAGTCACTTATTTTGCGAGGCAGCAGCAAGATTTCATTACAATGGCAATGTTCACTCACACATGTTTTTATTTTAAAATGGCTGTGTTGACATTCCCTCTACTGTTGAGTGTTCCTTGAGGAACAATTAATGTGTTGTGCTTTCCTAAAGAGAACCTCTGGGACCTGCTGAATGAACTTGTAACCAGATGAGTGAATAACTCCTGGTAACTCTCTACTAAAAGATGCAAAGGATTCATTTAGCTATGAATTAACTGATGGTATAATTTTCAGGGTAATAGTAGCCAAGGGTGTAACCTCATGGACTTCTACAATGCACATATTTATGGCATTGCAGGTCTGGTTACCACTAATGACCATTGGCATTGATTCCCTGTTGTGGTAAAGAGAGGAACCATAGTTACATTGGAGTCTTAAATGGTGACTTTGAGGTCTTAAATGTGTGAGAGCTCTTAAATGTGTGGTCTTAAATGTGTGAGGTCTAATTGTGTGAAAGTTCTGGTATCTGGTTGCCCCAACCCATTCCTCCAGTCAGTCCGTAAGGAAAGCATCACTTGGATAACTGCCAAAAATAATAAATAATAATAATCTTTGCAATTGATTTAGTGCCTTTAATGTTGGGAGGATGTCTTAAGGTGCTTCACAGGATTTTACTGTAAAATGTAGGGTCTATGTATATGGTAGGCAAGCAGGGCAGCCAATTTGCACTCCACAATGACCCACAAATAAATATGAAGTGAAATGACCAATTTTATCTGGGGGATTGCTGGTCGACCTACCTGTAGAAACTCCATTCTCTTTTTCAAATATTGCCATGGTATATTTAACCTTCACCTCTGACAATGCAGTGCAGCTGATTCAATGTAAGTCCAAAGTCTGACCCGGACAACCTTCTTACTCAGAGGCAAGAGTGCTTCCAACTGAGTCAGAATGATTCTTAAGATGGTCTGAATGATTTATGGCACTCCTTCAAGACTGGATGCAGATTTCTCACATTTGTGACTTTATCCCTGGAGTGCACCTGCATGTTTGCGAATGTGGAGCTGTGCAAATGTGAATCCAGTGTTGCAGAAAGAGTCCTGGGATATTAAAAGGAGCTTTTGCTCCCTTTCATTTACTCTCCTGTGAAGGGGCACTGAAATCCTGTACTCAACATGCAATATTGATGATAAAACTTTCTGGTATGTATCCTGAAATTGCCCCTTGCAACTTTAAACCTATGTCCTCTTAATTCTGCTGTCTTGGTGCAGTTCAAAAGTATTGATCTGGGTTTACATTTTCAATCCGATTTAAAATTTCATTCACCTTTATATTTTCTGTGCAGTCTTCTCTCAAGACTGTAAAGCCCCAGCTTGTCTAATCATTATTAGTCCTTGTTGCTCTGCTCTGCATTGCCTCCAATGCCTGGCCAGCCCCCTTATGTCACGAATACCAGAACTGTATGCAGTGCTCTAGGTGCAGCCTGACAAGAGCATTAAATAGCTTGAGTATGACGTCTGGGAATCTTAACCTCACCTGATTCAACAATATAGTCTTAAATCAAATGCACGCCACAAGAACCTGTTTAGTCTTTGCTGATCCATTCCGGTCACCGAACATTTATTATTAACTGAGAACATCACGGTGTAACCGTGCCCTGCTTATTGTGCTGTGTGAACACAACTTTGTTTTTTTATATGTAGGTATGTGCCAAGGAAATGATGTTGGCACCCAGTACCGCTCAGCCATTTACACATATACACAGGAGCAGATGGCTCAAGCTCTGAAATCCAAAGAGGCCTATCAGAAGGTACTGCGCATAGATGCTGGGGATTGCATTATTTTCTTTAACTCTTTTATGCCAACACATACCACAAGCTTCTTTTAAAGTACCAAAAATGTGAATTGATTGAGAAGACAGCAGCTCAAAAGTGTTTTTTTAATTAGCTGGTTCTCAGATGCAGGGCAGGAAATTTATTTATGATGTGGAGATCAATAATGGTCGGGTGTGTAACCCGAGAGTTCAGAACCAGTCACTTAAGACCGTTTTAAATGAGCTTTCACTCAGATTTTGTTAAAATAAAATGTTTCACAAGATACGGTTCAACATTCAGTGATTTCTACCAATATGACTTGTTAGGGAAACTAGAAGTGCATATCGCTGACTCGTGGGAACTGCACCTTCAGATCGTGGACTTTCATTTACCAGCAGTAGCCCCCTACCCCACTTTCCTGGCTAAAGAATCCCATTAAAAACTGTTGCATATTAGACCCTAATATTTAAAGCCTGTAAAAAGATTTGTATTTCAACAATTTATTTATCTCCATTATACTGCGCACTACATTTCTACTACCTTGCTCCTTCCATAATCTCCTTTACCCAAGAGGATGAGGTGGTCTGAATTGCAGACTCCAACACTGTTATGTCACTAAGTGTTACAGGCCAATAGTAGGGGCACTTTGCATGCTTGGATGAATTAATTGGCTGCTGATCTGATAGTTGTTTATGGGTTGTTGCTGGTGCAGATTAACTGCTGTCTTTGCCTATATATCAACATCCACTTCATTTCTAATCAATTATATTTGGTAAAGCACTTTGAGACATTTATTTTTACATGAAAGGCTCCATATGAATGCAAGTTATTATTATTATTTATCCCCTGCTGCTCTCTTTGATGAAATATGAATGTAAAACATGAGATAGATAATCCTGAAAATGTTGCAGTTACCCATTCACATAAATATACCTGTCACTAGCTTAGATAAATCTGAAGGCATGTCTTTTTAGCCAGCTAGAAAGCAGGAACCATTTAATGAAAGCAAATCTAGAGACAACTAAGAACATCACTGAAACCCCAATATCATCCAAATGTCAGATGTGAGGTGCCAGCCTGAATCAGTTCATCAGGCAGACTCAGTCTAGGCGGGCATTGCAATGCAGTGCTGGGGGTGCATTTCATTATTGGAAATGTCGTTCTTCAGATGAGATGGTAATCTGAGGTCCTCTCTGTCTGTTCAGGTAGACGTTAAAGTTCTCAAGGCACTATTCGAAAAGAGAAGGGAGTTTCTCCCGGGGCCAATAATCCTCCAGATAAACTACTCCTTCAAACCCCACTTTCATGCTGTGATCTGTTCCAAGTTTCCACACCTCCGCAAATTTGCCCATTTCCGGCACTGCCTCTCACCTCGGGCCACCCAGACCCTGATCCACGCTTTCATTATGTCCCGGCTTGACTACGCCAATTGCCTGCTCGCTGGATTTTCCAACTCTTTCCTCCACAAACTGCAGATTATTCAGAACTCTGCAGCTCGTGTCCTCTCCCACACCAGGTTGGGCATTCAGCATCTCTGCCCTCCCCCCACGCTGGAACTCTATCCCACAATTCTTCTGCCTCACCCTCCTCTCTTGCCTACTTCAGGTCCCCTCTGAAGACCTTCCACTTCGACCGTGCCTTTGGTTAACCTGCCACTCCCACCCGCCCTGCCCTCCTCCCCTTCTGACCCCAATTCCCAGTTTGAGTCCAAAACCCCTGATTGTCCAGTGCCCTGGGACGTCTTTCTGATGTGAAGGGCTCTATACAAGTGGAATTTGTTGTTGTTGTTCCTCATTTACTTCAGGACTGTCTGTGGGACATTGCTATGTGCAAATTGGTGGCCATGTTTGCCTGCAAAATGCACAGTCACTACACTTTACAGTATCTCCCGTGGAGAGCTTTGCGACATCCTCCCAATGTGAAAGGTGCTAAATCAAATGAAGGCATTATTTTTATTTGTGTTATTCTCCTACCCTTCAGCTAGTTTTTATGATTATGTCCATTTTACTTTTCAAGTACTCGCAAAATATAGGTTTCCATGTCCTTTGACCAGATTACAAGGCCTCATGGCATAATCAAAATGATGTATTTACTTGTTAGCCACTAGTTGAAAGGGATTATACGATTATCTATTTTACAGCAATACCAGGCTTTGGGTTGTGTTGTAAATAGGAAGATATTGTGGCAGAAATGTTATCAGAGCAGCAGGATAACTACTTTGAAGTTGATCTCGTAGGACACCTTGCTGGCTAGTAGGATCTTGATTCAATGTCTTGTGAAGGATGGCATCTCTGACAGTTCAGTGCAGGATGGAATAACACGGTGTGGTATTACGTACATGTTTAAATCGGCAAAGTGGAATTTGCAGATTACATGCGGGGTATTATTGTATTCTGTGTGGCTTCACTAAGCTGCTTCTGCACCACGTTTATGATATTACTGTCAGCAACAGCATTCCTTTTTTGCTGTTAGTACAACAGATTTTGTGCTTGCGGCCATGATTAAAACCTCTGTAGTTATATTAAACGTTTGCTGCTTTTCTGCTCCAACACTACTAATAAGATCCCAATTACCAACCTAGTCCGGCTGCTGTGTCACCAGGTAGAATCCCAGGACAAGAATTTGCAGTTATAAAAATAATCTTCTGTGGGATGTCTTTTGTTTAATTTCTCATACATTTAACACCCAGAGGCTGGGAAGAATGAACCTTGGATTTATGTGTGCCATCGGTAGCTATCCCTCCACGGTGTGTCAGTAAACATGGCACATTAATACTGCAGAGCGGAACTTTTGTATTAAAAATTCATCATATAAAACAAGATAAAATAGCATTTGCAGAACAATACTATAGTACTCGCACCCCCCAGCACAATGGGGAAATAACATTTGAACCACAGAGGTCTCCAATTGCCTCGCCTGATTTGAACTTCTTAAATGCAGTCCTCTATTTGATTTAGGGTGCAGCTCTGCTATTCCTCCCCCTCCTCTCCTCACCTCCCCCGTCCCCAACCTCAGCTAACAGTCAAAGAGCATGTTCTCCTGCCAATAAAGCAGGAAACAAATGTTAAGTGTCACCTTTTGGTACTTTTGGAAGCTTGTTCACTCAGACAGCATGCAATACCTTGAAAGGCGATGATACCGACTTCACAAGCTTGGATTCTCTCGTCGATCAGAATAATGTTTCCTCTTTATTTATTATGTGCGGTACATAATAGAAAGCATGATGAGCACTTTGAGCTCATTGGTAAATTATAAAATTAGCAACTGATCAGTGCAGCTGTTTGTTTTTTGTTCCAACATGACTTTGTTTTTCTGTGCTTCCTGGTTAAACCCTCCTACCTCTCTTGACCTGCTGAACCCCTATCAAGCTGTCCGCTCCCTCCGTTCAGCGGGCTCCAGCCTGCTCCAGGTCTCCCGCCCGACATGCCCTAACATTGGCGGCTGGGCTTTCAGCCTCTCTGCCCCCACCCTTTGGAACGCCATCCTACAATCCTTTCACCTTGCTCTCACTTGCCTCCTTCAGGCATGACTCATGACCCTCCTTTTCAACTGTGCCTTCACCACCCTCCTACCTCTCTGCCCTCCCTCACCCTAATCCTGCCCCACACTCAGATCATGATCCCTGACTGTTCGGCACCTTGGGACGTCCTCCCGACGTGAAAGGCTCTTTACAAATGTAATTTCTTTATTATTGTTGAATAGCTTTCGAGAACCAATCACATACTTTGGGGATCAGGAGCTGAATAACAACAACAACTTGCATTTATATAGCACCCCTCACGCAAGGTAGCATCCCCAAGGAGCTGTATTGCGTTTGTACCTTTGTGTTGTTGTTATGGATCTGCTAAGAGTACTTGCACATTCTGCACTTGTATCGTCCATTATACCTCACAATCACTAAATGAAATGCACTGTGGTGAAATGTGCGTCACAGCGCAATGTAGCTCTGTGAACCTCTGATCACTGCAGCAGCATGTCTGCAGCAAATTGAAAATTAAACAAGACAGCATTTTTTCTCTGCGTGGAGTGGGGGAGGGGATAGTCCAAAAATCCTTTGACTTAAGATATAGGATTCTGAAAAGGCAAAGACTGCTTGTTTTATCTTGGCCTTAGGAAAGGAGGAATTCAGACTTGATGGAAAATATGCAGGACTGATAGAAAATGCCTCAATAAGGCATTCAAATTAGGAATCTATCAGGATGTGATTAAATCCCCTCCTCAGTGTATAATAATAATAATACTAATAATAATCCTTGCATTTGATACAGTGTTTTTCACATCCAGAGGGTGTCTCAAAGCACTTCACAGGATATACTGTAAAGTGTAGTGACTGTGTGTTTGTAGAGTGTTTGTGGAGCGTTGTGGGTTGCTGTTTCAGCCTGCCTGACGTCCTCCTGACGTGAAAGGCGCTTTATAAATGGAATCTTGTTGTTGTTGTTGCCTACAGTGTCTGAAAGAGCAGCTGAAACTGTTCCTGAACAGAACCAGTGGTTTGCACCTTCACTGTAGCACACAGCTGAGGTTAGTTGCCCCATCGAAAGACTCAAAGACTCAACCCGTCTTCCCTCAATTCTTTAGCGCAGTCCAGGTGGTCACCCTCATTGCTTCATGTTTTAGCTTCTGCTTTCTGTATTTCTTTACAATTGCTCCAGAAATGTGCAGAAAATCAGTTTGGTAAAACTTTTATCAAAGAAGTTCATTTTTGAGAAGCTTAAATAAAATCATGGGTCAAAATATAAACCCGATGTTGATTACATTCTTTAGGTACAGATCTGTTAGACTGGCACTGAGGGTGTTGCTAAGAAATGATGAACATTCAGGATGTTTCTGGCTAAAATTAGGAAAATTGTTCTGAGTTTTAACATTGCTCTATTCTTCTGTCTGACACTGTGATTGCCCCAAGTGATTTGAGGCTTTTCCACATGATCCACTTAGCAACTCGTGATGGGATGTGATTGAACATTATAGAATTCACAATTATGATTGCATAAAACCA